CACTGCAAGACAGTGCCGCCCACCCCTATCTCCCGCAGTCGTCGCAGAAGGATACCATGGTCGATACCATATTGAAAAGTAACATCCCAAAGCAAAGATTGAGTAAAGGAAGAAAATAATTGAGGGCCATATGTCAGCTATATTTACCTTTTTCCATTTTATTCATTATTTTATATTCTGAGGTATTTACTCCTTATCCATCTGAAGTCACCACATGCCAAGGTATTTCTCAGATAGGTCCATAAATATTGACCCTTGTTGGTAAACATGTATTTGATGAGTCAAAACTTTCATATAACAACTGTTTCTTGTAAGAAAAGTTATTTGTATTAAGAGCCGTAGTTGTCCTATGCAGCATTCCCAACTAATACCAGCCAGTTTTGGCATTATACCACAAATGCAACCAAAGGTTCAATTTACTCCAAACTTGCTCATTATCTTCTATCCAAACTTGTAATTAGTGGAATCCCTGGAAGCCAACTTACTCTTGTTCATATCTCATCACCTTAAGGGTACATTCAGTACACTATTAGTATCAATGCTGCAGATCCGGGGTGTCAAATTCAATTTCATTGAGAGCTGCAACAGGGTTGTGTTTGACCTTGGGGGAGGGGTGGCTGGAGGGGGCCAGGGTGGGCATGGCCAGCTTGATGTCACTCATGTCAGGGCTGCCTGTGGAGGCCCAAGCTCTCTGCCAGGAAAAACGGGCTCCTAAGCTCTGATTTTGGCTATGACGCCCTCCTACAATCATCAGCCAGTGAAAACGGACCTCCGTTTTTGCTGGCAGAAGCACTGCGGACTGTTCCTTTGCTGTTTCCATGATGATCCCACAGGCCAGATCTAAGCACCCCATGAGTCAGGCCGTGAAGTGCTTAGATCTGGTCCATGAGGCCATCCTGGAAAAATGAAGGACCAGCCCACAGTGCCTCTGCCAGCAAAAACGGACCTTGAGAAGGCTGCTGGCATCCCTTTCAAGCTCCACTTTTGCTGGCAGAGGATTGCAGGAGACTGTTGCAGCTGAAAACGGAGCTCGGGAGCCTATTTTTACTGGCAGACAGCTTGGCACCTAATTCCTTCTGCATGCATCAACTTCTAAAATGTAGCAGAAAAACTCTCAAGGCATAAACTTTCTCCTGCCATTTTTATAATGTGGAATTTCTAACGCAGAGAAATAAGCAGAAAGCTATTTCAGAGGAAGCCAGCATAGCATCTCAGTGTTACTCTGTATTTTGTTATCATTTGCAGCTATGGAATCACAGATACACAGATAGAGAGCCCAGTTTCCCATATGAAATTTCCCATTCTTTTCAATGAAAATATATATACAAATAGATTTGAATATATTTTCTCCATTGAAATCAATGGAAAATATACAAAAAGTCCATGTACCAATCCTTATGCCTTTAGAATGTTACAGCTGAAATAGGTTTTTCAACTATCAAGTCCGGCCATGTCACTATAAGAATCCAGGTTAAAATACCTCTGGTGAACTGAAAGGAAACTTAGCTCATCATCAGCCATTGGTGAACTGCTCTTACACTACAAAATCCATTCTATTGTGTCTGATATCTTTTGATGTTACATATTGTTTGTCTTTAAAAGTCCATGGAAATATTTTTTTGAAATAATTTAAGATTATCTTAAAATGATGATTTAAAAACAGAATTATTTAGTCTAACAAATGTAGTGGGAAGAAAGTTACATACCTTTTTTTGTATCCATGTAACACTGGAATGGACAATATTAACAAATCAGAAGCTGTTTGTATTAGTTTGTATTACCTGATATATGTGGCTCAGGATACCCAAAGTATATTTTTAGTTTCTTTCTATATATGTATTTCTTGATGCTTAGCTATGAAGTTTATATTAACTGTAGATGTTTCTTAATTTAGGTACAAAAAACCATATAAAAGACAAGCCATTGGTTTTTCATAACAAAATTAAATCATCAGGTTATACATCAGCACCACAGTGAGTGCAAATTACACTGGTAAATTTAGTTTGTCGCTTTTAATGTTTTATGTGGTATTTTTATTGAATGAATGTAAACAGCCTAGACTTACCTGGGCAAGATGGGAGCCATAGAAGTTTTTATAAATAAATAAAATCAATTGTCTCTTTTAGTTACACAAAGATTTGGTACTGTATATTTAATATAAAATGGGCTTAAGGATAAGGAATAAAGAGTTTAAAATACAAGTTTAATTTAATATAACCCTGCAGATGAATCCAACGTTTGTAATACTATCATTGCCTAAAATGATAAATTAATTTGTATAATGACTCATTAGTAAAATTATAAATTTATTCATTTTGCCCACTTTTAATTTTGGAAGCTGAATCCAACTACCTAATCTGAAGCAACGTTTAATTATTTTTATAAAATTAAAGCTTGGATTCTGAGTTAAAACCATCAAAATTTTAAATTCTGTTTTGCAAATAGAGCAGTATTTGCATTTTAACCTATTTTTCTATTTTGCATATTTTATCTTGGTTTTTTTAGTGGTGGAGTAGAGCAAAAATGAAATGTTTCCTGAACCACTTGATATCTTAATTAGATTTAAGATATAAAGAGGCATTGCTTGTATATTTAGAAGCTTATTCTTAAATCACAAAGGATAGAAGTGTTAAACATTCCAATTGTGATTCTGTTACTGCTAATCCTCCCTCCTTTGTTAAATAGAAGTAGTTGTGTGTCAGTCAAAACATATCGAAAATTCATTCCTACAAGGCATAAGTTATCTAGACTGCCCGTCTCTTATCAAGTTTGCCTTTCCTCCATGTTCTGATAGGACTGGTTTGCTTCAGGTCTTATCACTTAAGTAACTTCATCTAGTGGGACCCAGAAATGGCTTTCTTTGTCATTGCAACTGCCCTTTGGAATAACATCTCCTTGGAGATCTGCCTAGACCTTGACCATCCTTAAGTGTTCCCTAAAAAATTGGGATTTTTTTTCATGCCTTGGGTAGAGATAGAAGAAAAGACTCTGGACATTGCTAGCTATGTGGACAAATGTTTTTGTTCCCTGACAGCGGCTATTCTGCTTTGTACTATGTTGTTGTTTTTTATTCTGCTCAGAGTCATTTGGAGTGAGGGCAGCCTAGATATGAGTGGGAGAGGGAGAGTTATTTAGAATTGGACAGCCCATGAATTGTATGTATGTATTGGCAAAACTGTTAAAATATTTACACTTACTTTCAAATTTTTGTTATTGTACAACAGGGGTGTCAAACTTAAGGCTTGTGGGCCAGATCCGGCTTGCAATGTGATCAGATTCAGCCTGCAGGGCTGTCCTGGAAAATGTAAAGGGGCCAGCCAATGTCACTTAAGGCCTGGTCTACTCAATGCAAAGAGGAAACATAGGACCAGCATGGCTTCAGCCCGATCTTCCCAATACAAGAGAAAACATTCAGCAGTTTGGGGAATGGCGTCAAGTTGGCCACACCCAGTGAGTGGTGTCAAGTTGGCCAGGCCCACCCAGTCAGCCACACCAACCCAGCTCTCCGAGGTCAACCACAGCCCTGATGCGGCCCTCAATGAAATTGAGTTGTGACACCCCTGTTGTACAAATATAACACAGTGGTGGGTTGCAGGAGGTATGCCCCGATACGGGCGTACTGGAGCCTACCCGGAGCACCGGATACTGTTCCGGTATGGTGCTCTGGAGGGCCCCCCCGCGCTCCTTACCTGTCTTTAAAATCTTCGGCACTTCTGCGCACGGCGCGTATAGCGCCTGCACGATGCTCCGCCAAGCAGCTGGAGCGTTGCGGAGGCTCACCGAGGTGGCGTTGGACAGTAAGATGCATGTACGCGCTGCATGCGTGCTGCGCACATCCATGTGAACGACGCCAGGTCCATTCCAACTGTACCGGTTGAAACGGGATCCGGAACCCACCACTGATATAACAGGACTGTAATTGTTGATATAGATAGTAGTAGTTAACTAATTTTTTTAAAAAAATCCTAGTTTTATACATGTAATTTTATCCAAGCATCATATTGAATTCACCCATGCAGTTAATGAGTGCTTTTTTATGAAAATAAAATTATATTAGAAGAAAGAATTGATAATTGATCAGAGGATAGAGCAGATATTAATTGTTCCTTCTTTTATATTTGCTTGAGCATTTTTTTTTTCTGATGCTGGGATTTTTTGGGTAATAGAGCCTTTTTTCCCCCTGTTGTAGCATGCTCATGTTCTCCCCAAATTCCAAAGTAAAACACAACAGGTTGACATCGGAATGCAAGAGGAGTTGGAGACGGTAAGCAGTATAATTGTTAAAAGAATACAAAAACATGTTTAATACCAAAAGCATTATCCTGCAATAATAGTGTAACACAACCAAGCAAAATGTTAAATTTATTTCAACAATTTATCATTTGTGGTATATCTGCCACAATTTAAAATTGGTAGTATAAAAAGAAATGCTAAAACTCCTTTATTCTTGCTTCACTAATTTCTCTTTTCCCTTTTTAAATTTGTTTTATTATTGAAGAAGAAATAAGGAAGACTATCCACTTGGAAAATCTCCTCCAACCGAAAGTGTGAGGCAAATTACTGTAACTGATAAACCAACTCCCATATGCTGTATTCAGTATTCAGGTATGGGGGGGATATGACAACTATTTGTGGTTTATTAATATTAATAGTTAATTGATGTAACACTTGGAAACCTTAAAGCTAACCAGTTCTATGTTTACACATGGCCAACTCTGGCCTGGGAATCTGTCTCTCTTTATTTTTTGGCATTTTTTATTTATGCTAGATTAATTTGCTGTTCTCGTTGTTCTAGGAAATGGAGAATTATTGGCTTGTGGTTTAGCTGACAAAACATTGCTGGCATTCAAATCAAACCTTATAGGAGAACCAACTGTTTATTCAGGTACACTATATTTTAGATTTTTCTATTCTTAGCTATTCTTATTTCTTTGTCCTCTGTTCCAATATGATAAAAACAAAATCGAAGTTCCAAATAATAGGAAAGATATGGCCAGAAGATATTCAACAAATCTTGCATTTATGAAAACAATAGTAAAATAGAAAAAAATCACTTAACAACTGGGACAGATCTGGTTTAGAAGCTGGCCAAGTGAGAATACCTAGCTAATCTTCACTTAATATGTATAAGAGCCAGTAATGGAAACATATTATACAGGTCACTAAGATTGATAATTCCCCTTTATTTTACATTAATTAAAGGCATAGGGATAACATTACCCAGTCTTGGCTCCCTCATTTTAAGGACACATATTTCACTGTTTAGTTCTGACAGTAGAATTGTATCCATGGCTGGCAGCTCCAAAAGGAAATGTTTTTTCCCCCTAGGGAAAGTAAGTTTTCCCTTTATTCCAAAAATTATTAGAGTTTTTAAAAAGTGAGGCTTGTACCATTTATTCTTAGCTGACAGAGGTTTCTTATGGTTAAAATGGAGAATTTTTCTATTAAAAATGGAATCAATAAAATATAATTGCTAGGCACTAGGGGACAGCCTCGGATCTTTAAGTATATTAACATTAGTAATTTCAACTAAATGTATGTGAAGTTACAAACATTGGATGTGTCACCAGGATTTTATTTATATCTTTTTTTACAATATGTCCAATTCACCTGGAGCAGGAATGGGCAACATATGGGCTGCATAAGGACCATAGCTCCTTTTTTTGCAGCTCTTCGTGTTCACTGAAATTGTGCCACTTAAGTTTATCAGAAAAGAACCTGTAAATGGAAATACAGGGTAGTCCTCAATTTATAGGATAAGGAGAATGACTTTAAAAAATACATTTTTAAGCAGTGCAGTCATTAAGTGAGGCATCATGTGGACTGTTCCCAATTTTATAGTCTTTTTGCCATGGTTATTAAGCAAACCATCCACAATTATTAAACAAGACACCATGTGACTATGACTTGTGACCCTCTGCTGGCTTTATCATCACTTTGCTTGTCAAACATTGGCTGCAAAGGTCACATATGACAAACATATGACTGCAGATGCTGCAACTCAGTGGTGGGTTCCTACCAGTTCGACCTGGTTGGGCTGACCCGGTAATGGTTTGGCGGTCTGGGTCACTGGAACTGGCAGTGACCCAGGTCTGCCACACCCCTCAACCGGTTCTCCGGGTGGTGCCATAGGTGGCACCATCTTGTTTCTCAGTTTTGCGCATGTGCAGAACAATTTTAATTGCAATGTGCATGCGCATGCAGTGTGCATCAAGTGTGCATGAGCTCACAGCCGCCACACGAGCGAACCGGCAGTAGTGCCCACCCCTGCTGCAATTGTTACAGATTACCAAGAGTTGGCTCATAGCAATGTGACTGTGGGGAACACAGTCATAAGTTGCAAGTAACCAGTTGCAAGTAACTTTTTTCAGTGCCATTATAACTTGAATAGTCACTAATTGAATGGTTGTTAAGTGAATATTACCTGTACAGTTTTCCACTGACTTTAGTTGGTGAACAAAACAGACATCTGTAAATTCTAGGCTTCATACTTAGAAAAGGGGGGAAAAAACAAATAACTACCTAAACCTACCTAACATCATTTTTACTTTATCCACTGTATTCCCTGGCTGCCCCCCCCCCCCCCCCCCCCAAAATGCATTACAAAATGTATGTTTCCTATCCTGGACACTGAAAATTATCTGCCCAGAATTAAACCCCTAGCTCTGTACATGTTTATTTTTCTTTTTAAAAGTTTGCTTTTCAAGTCCCCCTGTTTGAAATGTGGTCTATGAAAATAAAATTTAAAAAAGCATCAAGTTGGGTACTGATATTATTTGATCATCCTAGTTGCCATTTGATATTTGTCCTCATTGCCCCACAGATAGCCTTGTTAGGAAGTCTCTATGTGAATTTATGAGTATGCACAAGGGAACATCAGTATTTCTGTATAAAAATACTTTGGATTGTATCCAGGAGTGTAATTGCTAGATACTCTTTTTTGGTGCTTCAGAACATTCTACAGTTTCAGAGAGAGGCGAGGAAAAGAATAGTGCAATATCCTGTTTTTCCAACAGAAGTATAGCTGATTAATATGAGATTTTACTTTGTGATTTCTGAAGAATTTATGATCATTTTAAAATGCATTTATTTTTATTAGGACACGATGGCGCCATTACCTCAGTAGGTTGGAGCCATGACAACAATTGGCTTGTTTCATCTTCTGAAGACAGAACATTAAAGATCTGGTCAGTTAGCAGCGCAGAACCTGCTTTATGTCTGGTAATTAAGCTTTTTAAGTGAAATAGATTTGGGATACTCTGTATTCCCTTTGACTACCAAAATCATATTAATCGCATAGAATTGGAATATTAATTGGAACATTAATACCTTAATAATGAAGGGTTTGCTTTTTTGTTTTGTTTTTTGAAAAAGAAATCAGTGACATTTCACATTTTAGTTATGCTCATGATGCCAATTTCTTTTTCTTGCAATTCTTGGGCTTAGGAGAGATTAGTGGATATGAATCTTGCATACCTCACTGGGACCACCTGCAGTGTGATTCCTCATAATCTTTCTAAGGTTCAAAACAGATTTTCTTTTCCAAATTGACCTTGATCAAGGCCAAGGCATTGTAACAATGGAAGTGTTTCTCCAAAGGCAGAAGACTGGATGCTTATCTATTGCTGTTGAGAAGTGCAGACATTTATCAGTGTTCCAAAGCTGCTTTTTCAAGAGGCAACTGGACTTTCTTGTTTTTCTTTGAAGACGTTTCACTTCACTTCCAAGAAGCTTCTTCAGCTCTGACTGGATAGTGGGAAATGGAAGGATTTATATTCCTTGCAGACAGCTGGTCATTTGCATTCTTTTAGAGAGTTGTTGAGGCCCACTTGGGGAGTTGTCTATGTCCTCAGGGTCATGGGGTCACAGGATAAATCCTCTGGCAGCTGCAGAAGCAGAGGTTCATTCCCACAGCCTGCCAAACGTTTCCCCTCCATGCAAGTCTGCAAACTTGTCCAGCTAACTGGAACATGGCGGAACATGGCCTTGTTTCATTCTATACTCCTCAGATGATGGTATTTGGAATTTTTCGGTTCTTTTGGATTATAGGTCTGCAGTCTTATAAAAACAGAAAATGCCTAAATCCTATAAATAAATGCTTTCCTCTCAAACAAATCTTAGTATTATTTTGGGTTACGATGAGGCTTTATCATCAGAAATATATATTCATGTTCTTATAAGTTCAGATTTTGAGTTGGAGGAAGTCACAGTTAAATTTTGGAAGGAGGAACTCGCCAGTCAATGCTGAGAATTATTATTTTTTTGACATTTTTGTTCATGTGGTCATTCTGTATTTCTACTATTAAAAGAAAATCAGAATAACAATCATCTAATGTGGACATGGAAACAATGCACATGCAATGCAATTAACATGGCATTCTTTCCTCTATTTGGTTTGTTTACTCAACCTTTTTAGTGCAACTTATTTAATAATTTCGGTTTCTCTGTCTCCTTAAATTACTAATTGCAAGGCAAAAGCAAGCAATAAACAAACAAAACAAGGAAAAATATTTCTTGGTATGAGTAAAAATATGTAACCAAATTCTTCCATCCCTCATCATGAGTTGAATTGATTGTGGTGGGATATAAATGCAGTAAATTATAAATAAACCAGAAAACAAAGCCAATAAAACAATATTTGTTGGTGTATTGGTTAAATCTATTGGAGTTGGAATTTCATAATATTGATAAATGTTGTTTTAAATGCATTGAAGAACAATGTAAGATAAATTAAGATTGGTGAATAAAAAATAATTCAGTTTGAAAAATAAACTAGACGGCAATAGTCTATAAATAAGCTACCTGTGTTTTATCAATGAGAATTACAGGATGTATGATATGTATTTTGTTCTTTTAATTTCAGGGAAAGGAAATATTTCACAAATCTGTCCGATCAGCCCAGTTCTATTATATAGATACATTCATATTACTGTCCTGTGGAGCAGAATTTTATTTATTAAGATACTATCTTGACACCAGTAAAGATGAGATAAAACGGTATGTAAATGTATATGATTGCATTTAAAGTAGCATTAACCTTAAATGCAGTACTGTGCTGTTTTGTTTATGTGTGCAAGCCATTCAATAATTCTTTAAACAGTAGAGAAACACCACTATTAGTGCAAAAAATAATAAAATATGAGATTTCTTATGCACTAGCTTTCAGAAACAGAAATATTGGTTATATAGATTTGTTTTAGCTTTTAAGGTTGTATTGATATTAAGTATTCATTGTGCATGCTGCAAAATGTTATGTAGATACTACTTGTATAACATGACAAATTTGCCACTAATAAAAATAATTATTACATATAGATTATAAGTAATATATATTATGTTATATATAGATATAATATATCTGCATCCCTCTGCAGAAGGATGCATAACATTGCTGCAGTTTGATAGAATAATCAGTTATAGCTACTATTTTTTAAAGTAAATAATCATTCTTAAACATAAAAAAAACTTTTAAGGCTAACTTGGTATGATATTGGTACATAAATATCAGAAAAGAAGAAAAATTAAATCTGGCGTCTTTTGGATAAAAATATGCTATTTCAAAATAGTTTTAGAAATCAGTGTTGTACATGTACATATTTGAGCATTACTAAACAGTATTAATTGATTAATAAATTTAAAAAGTCAAGTAAAGATATTTCTTTATTATTTTAACTGAAAAAGAGAAGTACCAGTAATGAAAGAAAATGGGAATGATTGATTTTATAAACTAAGCCATTTCCCATTTGATAGATGGAATCATAGTACAGGGAAAACTAAGAACGAAGCTATTACATTACATTATTAAACTTTTATGTGACATCAATCTCCCTCATTTCTTCCATGTATGTATCACTGTGCTATTTCTATCATTTCTTCTCTCTGGTGAGTCAGACTGGGGAAAAAGATGAAATGAAAAAAAAAGTGGAACATAGAAGCATGAGTAATGTGTTAAATCTCTTATATTAAACTTGTTCTTTGCGAAGTGGTTTCAATTGTGATGGCTCATTCACACCATCATAGTTAGGTGTGTGCTAAATAACATCAGACTGAACTTCATAGTTTTACTATTGACTTTCCCCCCTATAAATTAGGAAATGAGTGTATAGGTTCCCTAGCATGAAAACAGAGGGACTTGAACTTGTTTTACTGCAGTTTTACTTTATTGCAGATTCATGACTACCTTGATTAAAGAAAAGAACATACGTACTTTTATTTCCACATGGAAACCACTTCTGAACTTCTTGTTTGATGTGGAAAAGAATGAAACTTTTATTTTTGGTTTTACAGATTAGATCAGGAGTAGTCCACCTTTTTATACCTACCGCCCACTTTTGTATCTCTATTAGTAGTAAAATTTTCTAACCGCCCACCGGTTCCACAGTAATGGTGATTTATAAAGTAGGGAAGTAACTTTACTTTATAAAATTTATAAAGCAGAGTTACAGCAAACCCCTACCGCCTACCATGAAAGCTGGAACACCCACTAGTGGACGGTAGGGAGCAGGTTGACTACCACTGGATTAGATTGATAGATCTTTATAGACATGACTTGTTCACACTATTATGGAAAAGCAAAAAGCTGTGATCTGTTGTCAATGCCTTATTCTACTGTAACAGAGAGCAGCGGAAGTCAATGCTTCTTTTTCATTTTCTTTCCCTATCTTTCCTCACTTTTCTTCCCCTTTTCCGCTTCTCCCCCATTGTCCCCTTATTTACTTTTGTATTTTGTATTTTACAATACTTTAAAACCAGTGGTGAAATTCAAATTCTTTTACTACCAGTTCTGTGGGCATTGCTTGGTGAGTGTGTCAGGGGAAGGATACTGTAAAATCTCCATTCCCACCCCACTCTGGGGCTAGCCAGAGGTGGCATTTGCTGGTTCTCCGAACTATTCAAAATTTCCCCTTCTGGTTCTCCAGACCCTGTCAGAACTTGCTGGATTTCACCCCTGTTTAAAACTTAATAAATAAAGTGTGATTACCACATGAATAGACAGGTTCCGTAGCATGAAAACAGAGGAACTTGAACTTGTTATGCCCTGCTGCATTCCTCACCTAGACCAAGCAGTTTAGACCTACAATTTGCATTACAGAATAAAATCAAAATAAATAGCAGTTTTACTATATTGTAGATTCCACAGCACAGACTCCTGATTCAGGGTTCAATCACTGATTTAAAAACAGTCAAAATCTCTCCCTCCCACTTTCCCCTCTCTGCCAGGTTCAGAAGTCTCGTGCAGGTAGTTCATTGGAGGAAAAACCAACCCATTTATTTTGGCAACTCTATTGCTATTAATTTTTTTAAAAAATGCTGCCTTAAAAGCAAACTCTAGGGGAAAATCTTACTGTAGATGGGATGACAATCCCCATTGCATAAGCTGAGAGCCATTCACATCATGTTGGACAGGACCCAGCATATAATACAAGTGCACAGAGTGGAACAGAAGAATTTGACATTTTAACTCTCAAGCTGAGGTTGCACATATTGCACAGGATCAACTGAAATTCTTTGTCAATTGTCCCAGTATAAGTCTAGGAAAACAATATTTTCCACTGTGCAGGGAAGGAACTTTTGCTATTGGGATATATGCATAATTCTTAAGCTTTGCAGATCTTTGTTAGATAGAACATACTTATTATTTTCATAGATTAAAGGAAAAATGTATATGTAACTTAATGCAGCACCTAATGTGTGTTAATAAAAATATGGAAAACAAAGATCTGCAGTTCTTTTTTAACAATAACAGAAAGTATATTTTAATAAAATATTTACTTTTTGGCTAAATATTTGGATCCTATATCTTCCCAAAGTAGAAAAGGCAAGAATTAAAAAAAAAAGATGCTAAAACAAAAGCTTTGAAATATGGGTTGGAGTAAATATGGATTTTGTTTTCTCTTTTGCTTCATGACTGTACAAGAGACATGTTTATATGATTTATTTCTGCAGATATAGAACGAAGAGTATTTGCAAATCAATACAGAAATTTCCAATGGCGTCTACAGTGGAAATTACTAGCCTTTCAGCAGTGAATGATTTCTATTCCTGTATCCTCTTAGCATTATTATTGTTCTTGTTTTGCAAAAGGCATTAGTTCTTTAATGATAATTCTTTATTGTAACATAGGTAGTCCTTGTCTTACAACCACAATTGAGCATAAATTTTCTGTTGCTAAGCAAGACAGTTAATTGACTGGGAACTCCATGTCACTATCTCTCCTGTTCTGTTAAAAGCTTGATATCCCTATTCTAAGTTATTTAAATGCAGGATATATTTTTCCTGACAAATGAAAGCCTAGAATTGCTGACTGCTGTACTTGTAACATATAATTTATCTAATGGAACTTTAACTTAACAGAAATTGCAGATATTGTATTGGTAGCTGGGAGTAACCGAGCACTAGAAATATTTGACCTCAACGTGGGCTGCAGTGCAGCTGTGATAAGAGATGCTCATTCTAGATCAGTTCACCAGATTTGCCAAAATAAGGTAGGCACAATCTTGGTTTATATTTACAATATTTCCCAAAGTACAAATGAATAAAGTACACATATGAACAAACTAATAATGAAATAATTTCAAACTTTGCAAAGATTAACGTGATTTATATTTTGATGCCTTTATCTTGGTTGGGAAAATGTCTGCTACATTGGATGGAATATCTAGGCAAATCATTCATGTTAGTTTTGCTCTTCTGGATCTGCTTGTGAAGCAGTTATAGACATTCAAGGTTCTGTGACTTCTTTGAAGGTAACTTGTGCTATGGGTTGGAGAACTGAAGCCGGCTTCTATTTTCAATTTGAATATATGGCATCTTCAACAAAACCTTGCAGTACAGAAAAGTTCCTATATAGAGGTTCAGGTAGCCCAATTGTGTTTTTCCTACCGCTAGATACTACTTTTGACTTCTCTCAATTCTCATTTTAACTTTCCTTGAAAATCAGTTAGCATTCCATGGGGTATGTATGTATGTATGTATGTATGTATGTATGTATGTTATGTATGATTATGTATGTATGTATGTATGTATGTATGTATGTATGTATGTATGTATTTACAAAATTTATTAGCCACCCATTTTCCCAGAGGGTAACTCTGGGAAGCTTACAGTCATAAGGAACCATCAATCCCTACTCACAGTCACTCATGCCCTAGTCACTTCCCGTTTTGACTACACGCTCTACCAGGGGCTGCCCCTGAAAAGCATCCGGAAGCTCCAGTTGGTGCAAAATGCAGCGGCCTGCATGGTTTTGTGCAGATCTTGGTGTGTGCACTTGTATCACCTCTCTTGCAAGAACTCCATTGGTTGCCAATTTGCTTCCAGGTGGAATTCAAGGTGCTGGTTGTCATCTACAAAGCCCTTCATGGCTTGGGAACCAGATTATTTGAGAGACTGTCAGTCACATCTATCCAACCCACTACAGCAGGAAGGAAAGGAATGTAGTGGATCCTGTCCCCTAAGGAGGGGATCTGGCGGGACCCAAAAGAAGGGCCTTCAACGTGGTGGCTCCCTCTCATTGGAACATCATCCCTCCAGATATTAGACTGGCCCCCATTCTAACACTCTTTCGGAAGGCCCTGAAGATGTGGTCCTGTCAGTGTGCTTGGGGAACTCAGAGCAGGATGGAGCCCATTAAATGGCTAGTATAAATTTGTGTTGCCATGAAGTGGGTAATTATTGTTTTATTATTTTATTATATTTCTTTATATTATTTTTATTTGTTTTATATGTATTCTTACATCCTTGTAAGCCACCTTGAGTCACCATGTGTGAGTAGACAGCAATGTAAAATTTCTAAATAAATAAATAAAAATGCATTTATACATATTCATTAAATCATAAATAAATGAAAACCAAACATTAAAATCACATGTGGGGCGGGGAGTGGAAAGAGATGGGAACTGTTGTTACTTGATGAGCCACCTCCACCATGCTGGTTATATTGATTGTTCACTGAAATAATTATATTGTCCTATTCTCCCTCTGTATTCTCCCTTTCTTTTGTAAATGCACTTTTGTTTTGTGCTTATGGAAATCATAATATCTCTGGAGTTTTTCAATATGCATGTCTGGGGTAGTTTAGTTACATGGAATGTAGATATGCATTCAATATTATTGCCTAAAGTACAGTCTGAATATTGCAATCCTACCAAATGTTGCTCAGTGTTGCTCAACTCAGTTATTTGACATCTGTTTTGTCAAATGTTTTGTCTTTGTGAATACTCCAAAGCAAAAGTTGTACACAATATTGTGGTATGTTTGACACATGCGTGTTTTTTAAATTTGTTTTGGAATATTATGAATTAAATCAGGAAAGTTTCAATAGATGCTCTATTTTGGATCCAGAAAGTCTGTTGCTTCATGCTGAGGTACCATACATTTGTGCACCATTATTTTTCATTAAACAAACACCCATAAAGCATGTTTGAAATTCCAGTGAGTTGCAAAAGCTACTGCCGGCTGTTCTCTTAGCATACGATGGATTTTAGAAAGAAGCTCTGTTGCACAGATGTAACTAGAAAACTGTAGATCCACCAGTGAGTTCCACCCCCGTGTATTTAGCCTTCTGAAATATTAGATAAATTATTTTATGCTCCATTGGTAAATGTATTCCTTTTGTATGTTTCTTACAATTAATTTGCTCACTGATTTGCATGCCAGTCTTCAACACTATTGTTAGGAGGCAGGTGCTCTTGGTTTTAATTATATATCTATTTCCTAGTATTCAGATTTAGTTCAATTTTTAAGAACATTAAGAAAAAAATTAAATATATTTTTTCTAATTGCTTTATAATTTAGACTTGTTTTTTTATTCTTAAACTATAAACTACATCATAATCTTAGATATTTGTCACAGAGAGAATGATAGCAGTGTCATTACCATAATAGGTCATGTAACTGTCATGTGAAGGGAACTGAGTCTAAACAATACTTTCAATACCTCCTTCATATGTGCTGATTTATTCCACGTTAGTATAAAGCTTTCTCTTTCTCACTGTCTTTGCGGTACTTGTCTCTGGCTAGATCAATCTCCACGTCTGTTGCCAATTCGTACCAGCTTTGCAAGTTATGCCCCCCCCCCCTGTTTACACCGTTCTGGTATATATCTTTGTGTAAGCCATCCATAAAACTGTCCATTAAAGTCTCTTCTGACCATTCCCGCATATAAACGGTAAGAGTTTTCATTCTGGTTCTGGCCTTCTGCCCATGAGCGGATCATCAAAGCGTTTCCTCAGGGTGGCTATAAACCTATTATAGTCTCTCAGTAGAGGAGAATCATCATTATGCAGGGCAACCATCCATGCCACTGCCTTGTTCTCCTGCCCCATGGTAACAACTCTTACCTTGGCTTCTGTGGGGAGATCCTCTCTGAACTGTTGCATGAAATTCCAGACTTGGACCAGGCAAAAACCTAGTTCCTTTGAGTCTTTACCAAATTTCACACCAAGCTGAGGAACACCATCTGGCGTCTGCAGGGGGCCCCTCCCCCTCTTGGAAGGGCTCTCGTGGCTGCTGCTGCTGCCACTGGGGCTTCTCCATCCTGATGAGCTCCACTGTCTGCCCCCAGGCCCCCCCTTAGGCAGAACAGGGCTTCTACAGTTCTCTCCTTTAGGTCTGGGAGATCAGCTTCTCTTTCGGGAATGCTCCCGCGTAAATGTTGCCTCTCCCAAGCATCTTGAAAGAGTTTCATAGCATGGGACATCATAAGGTTCTCCTCATCGGCGTCCTGCCAAGCAGCTGCCAGCCACCGATATCGCCTTGTGGTAACTCCAGCCGGAATTTCCTCAGGATCATACTTCTGTCCCACTCCCAATGATCACCTGGGACGGACGGATCGTTCCTCCAAATTCAGATCCGCCATCCACTCCGTCTGCAAGGGACATGAGGATGCAACTGCCCCCATGTCATCCTCCTGGTCGCTGTCTAGGTAGGACATTCCTTTGAAGGTTTTGGTTTTATTTACACTCCCCTCGGAAGGTGTTAGCTCCGGGATTAGTGCAAAAGTGAGATCTTGCTTAATGTCAAGCCAGCCTCCTCAGCAACCAAGAAAGAAACCACTTAACTCCATTTCGCAGAGTAGCAGCTAAGCAAAGCAAGATCTGAGGCAGAAGCGGGCGAAATCATGCATATCAATATGTGACCCAACTCCCTTCC